AGAGCATAGCAGATCCGGTTTTCCAGCAGGGGGAGGGGAAATTTCTGGGTTCTATTTGGGTTCTAGAGCAAGAAAGGAAGGAGAAAACCAAGCTTATCTCACCGGTTTCTCAAAGCATGGCTGGGTTCCCCTTTCTTTTTTGTTCGGCTGCAGGGGGGGTCGAGAAGAGCAGAACACACGGGCTGGAAGAAGAAAAGAAGGAAGAAAAAGAAAAAGAAAAGAAGCTCATCCTTATCCAAATTCCTTCCACTTTTAAGTCCCTCAAGTTTGGACATTTCAGCTATTAAGCCCAAAACAATATTTTTCTCACACAAAAACCCTTACTTAAATGCTAAAATAGCACAAAATTTTGGGGTATTACAATCCCCTTCCCAAAAACCATAAATCCAAGGAATTTGTTAGATTCAACACCGAAGACACACTTTGTTGGGTTCAATCTCATGCTCTGCTTCCTTAAATTGTCAAACATTTTTGCCAAGTCTATTAGGTGGACTTCTACTTTGAGGCTTTTGACTATTATGTCATTTACATAAGCTTCTAGATTTCCGCCAATTTGAGCTCGGAATACAATTGTTACTATTTTTTGATATGTGGCCCATACATTTTTAAGCCTAAATGACATCATTACGTAGTAGTAGATCTTATCACCTGCATAAAAAGAGGTCTTTACCTCGTCTTCAAGTGCCATGTGAATCTGGTGGTACCTTTAGTAAGCATTTAAAAGACTCATCCTCTCGTTCTCGGAGGCAGCTGCTACTAGCTTGTCTATGATAGGCATAGGGTAGCAATCTTTGGGGCAAGCTTAATTGAAATTGGTGTAATCAATGCACATCCTCGACTTGCCATTTGACTTTTTCACCAAGACTGGATTGGCGACTCATTCACAGTAGTCTACCTTCCTCACAAATTTAGCTTGTAAGAGTTTCTGCAGTTCTTCTTTGATAGCTTAGAGTCTCTCCCCTCTAAACAACCGTCTTTTCTAGGCCACTGGTTTTTTCAAAAGACTGGTGCTCAATTCATGCACTGCAACTGAGGTCCACGCAACACATCCTTGTTTGCCTTCATGTAGTTTATGAGTTCTTCCCTTTCCTTGGGCATCAACCTTGTCCTAATCTGTGTCTTCTTGGTAGGATCATTGTCATCAATCCGCACCTCTTTTACTTTTTCAATTGGGGTGGCCCTTGGTTCATCGTCAGGTCTGTTATCTAGCAATTCCACACCCATCATTTGCTCTATACTTGGGACTTTTGGATGGGTTGGCTCTGGTAGTTGGGCTATTTCCTTGTCTCTTCGTGACCTAGTGACAGAGGTCATATAACACTACCTAGCTACTTCTTGATTGCCCTTTAAGGTTGCTGCTCCCATAAGTGTGGGGAACTTCATGCAAAGGTGAGACTGAGAGATGATAGCTTGAATCTCGGTCAAGGTGATCTTCCAATAACAATGTTGAAAGATGAAGCCATTTTCACAACTAAGAATTGGACTGAAGGGGTTACGTATGTCCGACCTGAGCCAAAGGCCATATTAAGTCGTAGCATCCCTTCCACGGGAACTGGCTGATTATTGAATCTGTAGATGGGCCAATCATACTTTTGCAAATGAGCAAGGTCAAGTTTGAGGCTTTCAAAGCAATGATAGTACATTATGTCTAGAGCACTTCCAATGTCAACAAGGACACACTAGACTTCACAGTTATTAATGATGATTGAAGTGACCAATAGGTCATTGTGTGGCATGACAACCCCATCAAGGTCTGCCGCTATGAATGTTATAGGTTGATTCTTCCACTCTGCATTCTCGATCTTCCTCTTTTGAGCTCAGTTCTAGTGCTTGACCTCTTTTACATACAACTTCTGTTGCTTGGAGCTAGTTCCTTCTGCTTCAGGCCTACTAGTTATCATATGAATGATTTTGGATGGTGGTGGGAAAGGTGGTGGTGCTTGCTAGTACCCTACTCCTTCCTTATTATTTGCAGTTCAAAACCTTTGGGCTTATTGTCCTTGTTCTTTGAAAAACTTTTGTAGATCCCTATTCTGGATGTATTCGTTCAACATTCCTTTCCGAGCTGAGCCTTCCAGCTCAGACTTTAGGCCATGCCATTCTTCTGTAGTGTGGTCATGGTCTTGATGAAAGCCACAGTATTTACTGTCGTCTCTCGTGGCAGCTGGGCTTCGCATAGGTATTGGCCTTCTCAACTCCATCTTGCTTTTTATCTGCATGACAATTTGTGACCTTGGCATTATAAATGGGGTGCATGAAGCCTATTTAGCTTATGCTTGTGGTGTGCTTGAGTTGGATTTGTCAGGCTCAGGAATTGGAATTAGACCTCAGTTCTGGGTGGGTTTGAACTTCTTCTTGCTCTGCCCTTCTTCTTTCCATGCCGGAGTTATGGCTTCTTTAAGGGGTGAGGGTTTAGATATAACATACTCCTTGACTTTGATGAACTTGTGGAATCTCTCATTGACCTCATCAAAGGTGGTTGGTGTATGCTTGATCAGATTTTCTAGAAATCGATCATGGTTGAGACCTTATATTACAGCAGCTATTCCCACTGCTTCATCAAATGAGTTGATTTCCAGCATGGCATCATTGAATATGTTCATGTAGTTCTTCAAGGATTCACCTTCTCTTTGGATTACCCGCATAAGCTCAGGTGTTGTCTTTTTTATCAACCTCCGACTTGAGAATTTGGCAGTGAAGGCGACTGCCAACTCGGCATATAAGCTAATTAAGTTCGGCCATAAAGTGCAATACCAAATTCAGGCATTATCGCGCAATGTGGAGGGAAACATCTTACACAATAGAGCGTTTGAATCATTCTGAGCCTGCATGATGGAGTAGAATGCATGCAAGTGATCGTTAAGGTCCTTGGTCCCGCCATATGTCTCAAACTATGGCATTCTGAATCCAGATGGGTACGGTTCTTAAGTAATGTTGCTATTAAGAGGGGTGGGAATTAAGGTCGAGATAGATTGAATTAGTGGTTGTGCATTCTTGTTCTCAACTATTATTTTTTCTAGGTTGTCTAGTCTTTTGGAGACATCTGAGGCAACTGGTTGAGGCGAGTTTGGGGGTGGGGGTGGGATGTGGGACTGTGCTTAGGAGTCGTTTTTAGATGGAGTAGCATTATAGACAAGGGAGTTGGTAGGCTGCTGGGCCAAGTGGGGGATTGTGGAATGGGCTGGGTTTAGTAAATTGATGAGTGGGTCATCGGGATTATCTCTAGCTAA